GTGCTGGTGCTGCCACATTCACCCTGCTGGGACCAGGGCAGCTCAGCCAGGACCACATGCTACTCAGCAGCAGAACCAGCAGTGGAGCTGGGGCAGCCATTCTGCGTGCCACTGTGCCAGCAATGGGGCTGGGGCAGCCATTCTGGACTCAGGGCCATGGCAGCTGTGTCACCCAGCTGACAGTGGGGCTAAAAGAGCTGGTGGCAGGAGGGGCAGCAGGGGATTTTTCCTGGTCTAGCAAATTCCCCCATCTGGGACCACTCAAGTACTGAGGATTCTGGACCAGGAAGGTCCAACCTGTATCAAAGTTTTATGTTTTTTCAAGTATTGGGACGTCCTGAATATCTGCAAGTCTCAGACGGCAGTCACACTTTGAGACATGTAGAACACATGCCTGTAGAACACATTTTACATCTGAGATCTAATAATCCTAAAAACTCTTATGTACAGAAAGCCTCCCAAACCCCACTCCATTGACAAACTCACAAACATTCTCATCTCACCTCTTCCCCAAAGTAATATACTTTAGACAAGTGTTTCTTAAACTTTTTCATACCATGGAACTACAAACAATTTTTTTTGTGTAGAACACCTATGAAAATTTTCTTTAAAAAAAAAAAAAGTCATCAGACCAAAAAAAGGACAAAAACAAAGAAGTAGTCACAGCACACCTGCGAGTTGTTCACAGAACACCAGCGTTCGGTGGAACGGTTTAAGAAACACTGCTTTACACTCCTTGTCCTAGTTGCAGATACCCTCCAAATCTCATCTCTTCCCAAGACCAGATACCATATATGCACACATTTGAACATGCAGTCTAAATACACGTATTTGCAGGTATTAGGACACTTGGCTCTGGGATAGAGGAAAAGAGGAGTTGGGCATGGTGGGTTTGTTATTAGGACCATGAGGAAGAGGGCTTAGCTATTGGTATTGTACTAACATAACTTTGTAAATCAAGGATCATATCTGGCAGTAAATTAAAATTAGAAGGAATTGACTTAAGTACTCACTCAGGCAAATGCTCACTGATTATAAAAAGAAGATCTGTTTATAAATCATCTTCAGTACATATTCAATCAGCTTCCAAGACTGCCAGTATGGTCTTTAAGATCATGATTTTCCCTCACACACAAATCTACTAATTCACTAATAGTTAGGAAGACATTGTAGAACCAGAAAGAAAACAATATGCATTTCATTACTTAATCTTGTTACTTTTCAGCCATGTATATGCTCCTTATACATACACAAAAGAACAAACTGAAGACAACAGGGCATCAAATTTAACCATAGTCAAAAACCTGGAGGCAATCCTCAGTCACCCTGGGCTTTACAACCATCTAATGGAAAAAAGTAAGCTTTATATATTTTGGTTTTTATCTGCAGATGAAATATTTATTTTTATCAACATCAATGCAATTACCATACACTAGATTTGCACTGGTGTAAATAAGACTAGAATTTTGCCTTACATTCCTCACCAATGCAGTCAAATACAGAGAAGGAGGAAGTCTGTAAAATCTAGCTTAATATCAGATATGCAGCTGTTTGGAAACCTGTCTCTTATATAGCACTTTCTGTTGCAAACAGCATCCAATAATCAACACAACACTGGGTAGGAATTTACAAAATATGGGTGGGGAAGAACCCAAAGGAAGTCCATATCAGAGACAGCATTAGAATTTTGGGAGACTGCTTCACAGCTTTGTGTTCAAATCAGTAGGGCACACCATATGCTGTCCATACTGAGGAAACGGTCTCTACATACCAAGATTTTAATGCTACACAATATTCCACTCAGTAAGGCCAGTGGTACTGTAGAAAAACAGTATGTAGTCATGTAATTCAAGACTGCAACATGATGCATACAGACAACGTGGATAATTTAAAGTTGCATAGGGAACCGTAAGCCTGGCATTTCCTAACTTTTCAGTGCAATCTTAAAAATGTTCTTTTAAAAGTTTGTGTCCATGTTTTAGTTTAGTTTAAGAGACTGAAATAGTTATTTTATCACATGGCATCATATAGACACCAACATAGGTCACCAGCAGAGTGGAAACCTTTATATTTCCACCACAGTGGCAGAGGTTTGTTCAACTGATAGCAGTTGTAGGTTGTTATCCTTTGTGTGAAACTGTCATTTTGACTTGGAAGACAGACAATATATTGCAACTGAGAAATGAGATGAGAAAAGATGAAAAAAACAGTAATGTGGCAAATATAAAAATAGAGGCGCAAGAAAATTCCCAAGGCGTTTTTCCAGCCTCAGAAAAGTGACAGAAAAGTATTGTTTTGTTGTCTAAAACTTTACAAATGCTAAGTGAATTCATTCCTGATAAAAGCTGTCCAACTTACAACCCTGGACGGTAAAGTTCCACAGAATTATTTATATATGGTATTTACATAACACGTGTCACCTGGGACTGCATGAGAACTTGGGTTGTGAAATAACTAAAAAAAGTTTGTTTTTAAACCATGTGTTCATCAACTGTGGTAAAACACCAGCATGGACAGAGCAGTTGTGGTTACAGGCAGTCCCCGGGTTACGTACAAGATAGGGACTGTAGGTTTGTTCTTAAGTTGAATCTGTATGTAAGTCGGAACTGGCGTCCAGATTCAGCCACTGCTGAAACTGATCAGTTTCAACAGCGGCTGAAACTGGACGCCAGTTCTGACTTACATACAGATTCAACTTAAGAACAAACGTACAGTCCCTATCTTGTACGTAACCCGGGGACTGCCTGTAACTACAACTGCTCTGTCCATGCTGGTGTTTTACCACAGTTGATGAACACATGGTTTAAAAACAAACTTTTTTTAGTTATTTCACAACCCAAGTTCTCATGCAGTCCCAGGTGACACGTGTTATGTAAATACCATATATAAATAATTCTGTGGAACTTTACCCTCCAGGGTTGTAAGTTGGACAGCTTTTATCAGGAATGAATTCACTTAGCATTTGTAAAGTTTTAGACAACAAAACAATACTTTTCTGTCACTTTTCTGAGGCTGGAAAAACGCCTTGGGAATTTTCTTGCGCCTCTATTTTTATATTTGCCACATTACTGTTTTTTTATCTTTTCTCATCTCATTTCTCAGTTGCAATATATTGTCTGTCTTCCAAGTCAAAATGACAGTTTCACACAAAGGATAACAACCTACAACTGCTATCAGTTGAACAAACCTCTGCCACTGTGGTGGAAATATAAAGGTTTCCACTCTGCTGGTGACCTATGTTGGTGTCTATATGATGCCATGTGATAAAATAACTATTTCAGTCTCTTAAACTAAACTAAAACATGGACACAAACTTTTAAAAGAACATTTTTAAGATTGCACTGAAAAGTTAGGAAATGCCAGGCTTACGGTTCCCTATGCAACTTTAAATTATCCACGTTGTCTGTATGCATCATGTTGCAGTCTTGAATTACATGACTACATACTGTTTTTCTACAGTACCACTGGCCTTACTGAGTGGAATATTGTGTAGCATTAAAATCTTGGTATGTAGAGACCGTTTCCTCAGTATGGACAGCATATGGTGTGCCCTACTGATTTGAACACAAAGCTGTAGGTCAAGGTAAAAATATAGTAATTTATTAAAATCGCATTTTCCCTAGTGTGGATATACCCTATGAAGAGTAGCTCAGCCTCCATGGTCCATTCAATCATATTCCTCTCTAACATTCCAATAAGAGCACCAAACAATCTCAGTTACAGTGGTGAGCTTTGACATTTATTGCTCAGTATTCTGGGATATGATGTCATCTAGGGACACAGACATGAAGTAGCGGTAGTCCTATATTTTAAAAATCCCATCAGCCATCCAGTCCCGTGGGAAATTCTACTTTGCGGAAACTATAAAACCTGGAGTAAACAGCATGAGGCATTGCTCGAGCACCAAACAATCTCAGTTACAGTGGTGAGCTTTGACATTTATTGCTCAGTATTCTGGGATATGATGTCATCTAGGGACACAGACATGAAGTAGCGGTAGTCCTATATTTTAAAAATCCCATCAGCCATCCAGTCCCGTGGGAAATTCTACTTTGCGGAAACTATAAAACCTGGAGTAAACAGCATGAGGCATTGCTCCCCTCCAAGATGTAAATATATATCAAGGAGACAATAGGAAATAGAAAACAATTAAGGACATTAATTTGATACCAAGTTAATTTCTTGAACAAGCAGAACAGCTAAGTTTCAACTATTTTAATTTCCATTGTACATAATTAACAGAAATATAATTTTATACAAATACAGCAATGTATCCCATACAAACACTGTTAAGAATATTTCAAATGAGAGGTGTACCATATACTAATGTGCACCACAAAGTCAGAATAAAAAAATTATAATATCTTGCCTTGGGGTAAGCTTTTTAGCATGTGTGTGTGTGTTTATTTTTTTTGTTGTTTTCTCTGTAATGCTTTAAGAATAAATTTGCTTGCATAGAAGCAGCTGTGTGGTAATTATAATTTGGGAGAATACATGGGTCATAACCCTCAAAGAGAAAGCAAAACACATGCACTGGTTCTTTAGGAAGACTGTCTGGGATATCAGTGTAAATCAGGAAACTGTGAAACATGGAAGGCCACAGGCAGAAAGGAATCAGATACATGTATCTGGCCAGAAAAGATGGTATCTGGAAGCCAAAACCCAATGTGGATGTTGTTGGTGGACCACAGAAGGGGAATACAGGTGCTGTTATACTGCAACTGACAAGTATTCTAAAAAACCCACGGATCAACTGCAAACATTTATCACTGTGTAACTTAGATAAAAAGTTCCCCCTCCCCCCCCGCTTTTGCAAGAAAGATACTATGTATTATATACATGCTGACTAGATGCAGCCTTCATGACTCCTTGAAGTTGTCAATAAGGCACTCTAGGCCACAAGCTTTGAGATACTACCGTTTAGGGCTGAAACAGGAGTTCCTAAATTTTCTCTCAGAAAACAGATGCCAAAAAATAGAAAAGGAAATAATTATACTAACCTGTGTCCTGGTCCTCCTCGATACCTTGCACCAGGTATCAAGACAGGGTCATCATCACTATCATCAGTTTCTTGGAAAGCAGTGCTTCTGGTGGATGATTCTTCATGAGCTGCAAGCCCTGAAGAGTCTGGCTGTGGCTGAAGTTCATGGTTTGTATTAACTGGGTTGGCAGTGGATTCTGTATGTTGTTGACTTGAACTCTCCTGTTCTTTGCTTCTTTCACTTGAAGATCCTTCTTCTGGATTCCTACAGACACTGTCAAGATTGGGATCACTTTCTCCTTCTGTGCTGGTTCCAGGATGCTCTGATATATACTTATCTGATACAGCTAACAGAAAAAGGCAGTTAAAATTAGCTAGCAGTTATAGGGTACTCAAGAAGATGTTTTAAATGGTCATAGAAAAAATATTATATTTGGGCTGGCTTTAGAAAGTTATGGTTATTCACCTTCCCTGTTTCAGATGACCACATGAAGAAACAGGCAACATACCTGTATCTGTTCTCTCTACAGCTTCATCTACAGTTTTCACCTCTTCCGCACTTGTGACTTTCTCATGCAATTCTTTAGGGACTCCTGAAATTAAACATCAGAATCATGTAATCATTTCAGTAGCATGAGTACACATCTATAACTCCTGTAGAATACTAGAATTGCCACATTGGATTAGGCCACTGGTTCATGTAGTCTGAAGTGCTACTTCAAGCGTCTGTATCTAACGCCTCAGAGGAAGGCAAAAAGATCCCATAAATCCACCTACCAATTGTTCAGTTTGGTATAACAGAGAATAAAAGTGGGGTGAGGGGTGAGCGATTCTTTCTTGGTCCATGCTACAATCCTCACTGATACAGCCATTTGATCCAACTGTCTCCTGCAGCAATGAATCCAACAGGTCGACTGAATTCAGCATAATAAAAATTTCTCTGACTAACACCTTAACATTGTATCCCCCCTTTATAAAGCTATCAACTTTAACTGTTTATTTACTAAATGAATTAACATAAGTGAAAACAGAGTTAAATGTAAAATTTCATGCTGTTTCAAAGGGAACC